TCTCTCAAAAAAAAATTGTTGAATGACAAATAATGTACCGTCACCCAGTGCACAGCACAGATTGCTCCTTTAGTCTTCTTTGGACATGGCCCCTTAATCACTGTTCAGAGGAAGATGACACTCCAGGAGATTATGGGCCTTTCTGGGGAGGGGGGATGCTTGAGAGGTGGAATAGGAGCTTTATTTCTATTTCCTGAGACACTGGAAATAGCAGACAGGGTTGGAATAACAAGGACACCTGACTTAAAGCCTTGTGAGTAAGAGCTAATAATCTTGGAATTTCCTGGCTTACTGATTTTCCCAGGCTGACTTGTTTATTGCTGAGAGCCATTGCCAAGTAGGAATGACGCATGGCAATTTCTTTGTCAGCCTACCCCATGTTGCTTAGAGGAAGGACTCTCCATTGTGGAAATGGGCTTGTCTTAGACTCAGGTCATTTGCAGTGACATTGTATTGAAAGGTGACCTTGCTCAAGGACCAAGGCGGATCAGGGTTTAGGGCGCTCCTTGGGTTTAGGGCAGTTCCAGGTTCTGCTGGGAATAGAGCATATCCTGCTGCCTCCAGGCACCCGGTCCTTGAGTTCCCGTTGAGTTCTTTGGGATACTGAGCCGAGTGGAAGCGATGATTTTCCCCAGAACGTGTGTGTAGAGGGCCGGTGACAGTTCGAGAATAAAGAGTTGCTGTTTGAATCTACAAGGTGTGTGGTGGCTCGTGATTTTGTGCCCAGCCAGACTGCGGCAGTTTATATGGATTGGAGCTAATGAATATTTATATGATGTTTATTATTTGACAGAAACTCTTTTTTGAAAGGGCGAGTACTAGAGACTGAACTTTTGGGCACTCAAACACTAAGCCACATCCCCAGCCTTATTCTGTATTTTATTTTGAGACAGGGTCTCACTGACTTGCATAGTGCCTCACAGTTGCTGAGGCTGGCTTTGATTTTGTGATCCTCCTGCCTCAGCCTCCTGACTGGCTGGGATTACAGGCATGTGCCACCATACCCGCTCTCTCTCTCCTTTTTGTACTGGGGATTGAACCCAGGTTACTATGCCACTGAGCTACATCAGTAGCCCCTAGATTATTATTTTTTATTTTGAGACACAGTCCCACTAAGTTGCTTARAGCCTTGCTAAATTGCTGAGGCTGTCCTTGAACTTGTGATGGTCCTCCCTCAGCCTCTCCAGTTGCTGGGATAACAGATGTGTGTGACCACCCCATTCTTTAACCTGCCTTACATATAAACTCAGTTATCTTAAAACTGAGATTGTTACTATTAGGAGTCACATTTTCCAATGCAGAAACCTGAGGCAAGGAACTTAAATGATTTTCTTAGTAGATACCCAGTTCGGGTTTTTCATCTCCAAACTAGAATTTGGTATATTACACAAGTTCCACAGGCTTCCTGGTTTAAAAGTAAACAAACTTCAACACCAAGTGTATGTATACCTTGAGGAAAAATATTAACAACCTATTTGTAAGATAAACAAGAAATAGAAAATTATACCCATTCCCCACCTAGTACTGAGTTGTTTCAGAGTTGAAAGGATTGGGAGGGGCCAATTGATTGATGGGTGTAAATATCCGGCGGAATGCTTTGTGCGGTTTTGAAAACGGCACAATACTACAGGAAAAGAAAGCAGTTCTATTTCTGATTGGAAAACTTCAGAGGGCAGAAAATGGGAAACTGTAAAATCCACAATAACCATAAAGACATGCATTCTCCTCCTAGCTCCTAGACATCCTACTCTGGACAATGGGCCCAGTGCTTAGTCCTTGGTGCCAACAACTATTATTTTTATTTATTTGATACTGGGGATTGAACTCAGGAGCACTCGACCACTGAGCCACATCTCCAGCCCCATTTTGTATTTTATTTAGAGACRGGGTCTCACTGAGTTGCTTAGCACCTCRCTTTTGCTGAAGCTGGCTTCGAACTCACGATCTTCCTGTCTCAGCCTCCGGAGCCACTGGGATTACAGGCGTGTGCCACCGCACCCRGCTTGTGCCAACAATTTTYATATTATTATCGAACCTAGATGCGCTTTACCACCAAGCCATATACCCAGGGTCTCTAAGTTGCTAGGGCTGGTTTCAAACTTGTGCTCCTCCTGCTTCAGGCTCCTGAATCCATGGGATTACAGGGGCACACCACCGCTGGGCCGCGCACCAATACTTAGAAGATTTACTCAACGTCCCCAGGTATTTAGACCCAAGCGCTCAGGATTCTAAACGTTTCTAAGGCCAGACTCTCTATACTCCGGCTGCTTCTCTATGGTTTCTACGGGTCGCTCTAGCCTGCGCAGGGGCCGGTGAGACGTCGTAGCCACCYTCTAGGCTGCCGTAGACTACGGAGGTTGTCTCGTTGGTTGCACTCAGCCATGCAGAGTGTGCGGAAAGTGCTCATGGTAGTAGCGGTGCTGGGCGCTGGGGCCGGCGTGGGGTCCGCGCTCTTTGCTCTGGTAACCCCAGGAGAGCTGCAGAAGCAGGAGATGCTGAAGGTAGGTACAACTGAGAATTCTGAGGAGGAGCCGGCGTATGGAGAACCCTGGACTGGTGTCCTGGTTTGTGAACTCCCTTCCTATTCCCAGGAGATGCCCGAACAGGACCCTCGACGCAGGGATGAAGGGAAGAGGAACCAGCAACTAGTGATGGCCACSCTGCAGGAGGCCGCGGCCACGCAGGAGAACGTAGCGTGGAGGAAGAACTGGTTGGTTGGCGGCGGCGGTGGCGGGAGATCAGCTTGATGCCAGACCTGTCCGAGTGGGCGCTACGACCTTGGTTTGAGCGCAGATCACAGGCAGCCTTTCAGCTCCGTGAAACCGGCGGGGAATCCTGACCTCAGATGCCGCACTCCAGGTCCCGGAGAGCGGCCGCCGGGTGAGCATCGTACCCCCTCCAACTCTGCGCTGATTGCTTTAAYGTCCACATCATCCTCCAAAGTCGTGTCCGGGGTCGGTTGTGGTGAACAGAAAGAACCAATAAATTCTGTGCCTCCCAAGTGAGCCGTGCAGTCGCACGCCTACTGGTGCTGAGAGATGTGCAGGTCATCGCTCAAGCCGGCTTGGGGAGCTCTGCTAAGCAGGGCTCCGGCCTGCCCCGCCCCATAGTCTGAAGTTCTATGGGCTTAGTAACCACATTTTCAAAACAGGTCTTCTTATGTAAGTGTTACTTCTGGGGAAAACCAAGCGACATTCCCGAAATCGAAACTATTCTGGAAAAGCTTGTTAGCAATGGATGACATCTGTTCTTTGAGGGAGGTTGAAGAGGGGCATCTAGCACATATATGCTTTCTGTGGCCATTACTTAATCTCTGGTTAAAGAGGTTTAGAGAGGCTGATTTACTAGGGGTGGTGAAAGAAACATACTTTTAGTCAAGATCTGGTTCAACTCCCGAATGTTACAAAACCTGAGTCTGCCCTATTTTGTAAAAGGCCATAACTATCTCCAGGGTTATCAATAGATTATCCCTAACTCTGTGGCCCACACCTGTAATCCAACAGACCTGGGAGGCTGAGGCAAGAATATCACAAGTTCAAGGCCAGCCTCTGCAACTTAGTGAAATCCTGGCTGAGAATGTGGCTTAGTAACAAAGCACCTCTGGGTTCAATCCTCTGTACCAAACAATATAAATAAATAAAGGGGCTGGGAATGTTCCTTCATATTACTCCTAGGTTCAATTCTGGATACCTCAAAAAAAAAAAAGGCTAGCCTGCATGATGGTGCACATTTGTAATCCCATCGCCTGAGGAGGCTGAGGTAGGAGGATCTCAAGTTCCAGGCCAGCCTGGATAATTTAGTCAAGACTCTGTCTCAAAATAAAAATGAAAAGGACTTAGATATTGCTTAGTGGTAGAGCATTTGCCTATCATGTGTAAGGCCCCAAGTTCAATCCCAATACTAGACGGGGTGTGGGGGAATAGATTTAGAAATGTAAAGGGCCTGACATAGCAATGTAATGGGTCCTCTCCCCTCTAAAGGTTCACACTGTAGTTCTGAATCCAGTTATAGGACCTATTGGAAATGCCACTGAGAATTGAGATAAATCACTGGGGTTGCAGCCCCATTGTAGTCAGGTCCCTCCCCTGTTCATTTTTGGTGCTGGAGATGTTTGAACCTAGGTGCTCAGGCATGCTAAGCACATGCTCTACTAACAAACTACACCTTCCAGCTTCTTTTTTTTTTTTTTCTTTAGTTATCAATGGACTTTATTTATGTGGTGCTGAGGATTGAACCCAGTGCCTCATGCATGCAAGGCAAGCTCTCTACCCCTGAGCCACAACCCCGGCCCTTCCTTTGTTTTATACCCTGTGGTTCCCAAGCAAGATTGCAATTGACAAA